CACTTGTATCTCCTAAACATTTTAATTTCATTTTAAATAGTTTTTTCCCACAAGTCATTTTATTTCTATGTGTTGCATTTAAATAATTTCTGTCTCCTATTATGCAAAAACGGTGAGCTTCCCTTTATGGGTCACTGGCCAATAGACAGAAAGGAGCAGAATCCATGTGCAAATCGATAGTGCATGTCCATGCTGCCTAAGTTTAGCTTAAAGTTTAATTTAAAACAAAGGCACAGATAAGTATTTTTCCTCCCTCCTTGCCTTTGTTTGAAATTAGAATCATCTTCACCTGCATCTCATCCCACTTTAAATTGAAAATAAAATTGCCCTACTTCAGACAAAAGTACCTCAATGTCCTAAAATAAATGCTTCAGGRAAGAAACAAAAATGCTGCTTTTGTATTTCTGCAGTACAGGTGGYTTTAATTATATATCTCCCAGTTAATACTGATTTGCCAATTTAGATTTTCAGAGCATTTATAGAAGTAATTAAGAGGCTTTCATACATGAGGAGTGTGCTTTGAGATGCCTACATACAACATCTGTGTCTACTTTGAATTTGAATTGTGTTGATTCGTGTGAGTTTTGAASATGGCAAACTGCTTTCTTTTCTCACATATTGTGAGAATATACATAGCTACTGTGGCATTACTTTTAGTTTGAGGGCTTTCTTTTGGAGGACTTCAGGTTTTAATTTACATTGACAATCTGAGGTTTTGAAAATGAATTAGCTACATTATTGAATCCTAAAGCTATCCTAAAAGCTAAATTTATTAACTTATTTTTACAGTAAGAAAAAACAAATGGTTCAGTCACCAGTAAAGGTAAAATCCCTGTCTCAACATCACCCTTGCAGAAGACTAAWGGTCATGTTATTGTATTTATTTTCAGAAACTGAGGTCATCCTTTAGTTTTCCCAGTAACAACCCAAACACTTTAAGCTTGCACATACTGCAATTATTAACTGCAATTAAAATATAATTGCACTTGATAATGACAATAATATCAGGCTAATTGACTTTTTTCCCTACATAAACATGTTTTGAAATTGGAAGGTACAGAAACTTTTTTTGCAACATTTGCATTGATGATGCTGCCTCTGTGTTGGTGTCACTTTACTTTTGAATTTCCCTGACAAATTAAAAATGTATTTTTGGAAGTACAGTCTGAAAATGAACAAAGGCCCCAACTAATCACTTAAAAGTTCCAACAACTAAAAAAACTGTATTTTATTTAGCTCTGTAATATATTTTGTCTGTTAGAATAATTTGAAATATTGTATGGGAAATCTACAACTGACACTAAATATAAAAGCTACTTGTATTTGTTCCTTATTTGGCTATTCCTTTAAACTATCAAACAAACTTATTGGGCCTACCTTGATGATTCCTCTTATGTGCATCTTGGCAATCATCTCAGCAGTGTAGAGGAACATGAGCAGCATGTCCAGCATGAATGTCACAAACTGCAGTGGAGGGTAATGTTCAAAGGTCTTCGGGGTGTTCATACAGACAGAGATGACACTGATGATGGCACAGGCACGAAGCAAGGAATGAACCCACTGCAGAAAGAGCACAAAAGAAGATATAATGACAAAATTTGGCATTATTGTAATTTATTGTTGACCTTAAAGTTGGGCGGTATAGATMATTTTCATACCGAGGTATTATCTTTAGATAATACAAGGATATACAGTATCATCGGTTGTGGGTATGGTCTGTGGCATGTTGAGTAACTAATAATTAACGGAGAAACGGCTGCTTGTGAACATACAGCGGGGTGCGAAAGTTTGAGCTGCCTTGTTAATTTTCCTGATTTACCTTTATAAATCTTTGATTGTTTGGATTAAAAAAATCAGTTAAATATATCATATAGGGAACAAACAGTGATACTTGAGAAGTGAAATGAAGTTGATATCATTTACAGAAAGTGTGCAATAATTGGTTAAACAAAATTAGGCAGGAGTATAAATTTGGGCACTGTTGTCATTTTATTGATTTCAAAACCTTTGGAACTAATTACTGGAACTCAAATTTGGTTTGGTAAGTTCAGTGACCCTTGACCTCCATACTAGGCATGCATACATATGAAAATTTCAGCCGATATCTACATCTGATATAATTATTGCTGTTATGGTTGACAACTGATATTTACCGATATTACACAAACACAAATTATATTATACATATATGCACAAACACACTTGGGTCTTTTCTTGATATCGTAAATAAACAACCAGACATCTGACATGGCTCCCTGCTTCAGTTATTCCTGGCTATGCAGCATCAATATCACTGTCATGGTCAAATAGATGCCACTCAACCAACCATCTCCCCTCCCAAAACAGAAACACAAAGCTAAAAAGTGGGAAATCAATTTCAGAAGTTAATATCAGCCCAGTTTTACATATCAGACCGATACCGATATTCTACAAAATGATCAATATCGGCCAATAACGATATCAATGCCGATATATCGTGCATCCCTACTCCATACACAGGTGACTCCAATTATGAGAAAGGGTAATTAAGGGGGGCAATTGTAAGTTTTTCTCCTCTTTGCATCTTCTCTGAAGAGTCGCAGCATGGGAGTCTCAAAACAAGTTTAAAATGAGCTGAAAACAAAGATTGTTCACCGTCATGGTTTAGAGGAAGGATACAGAAAGCTATCTCAGAGATTTCAGCTTTCAGTCTCCACTGTGAGAAACATTGTGAGAAAATGTTAGACCACAGGCCAGTTCAAGTCAAGGATCGAAGTGGCAGACCAAGAGAAATCTCCAATAAACAGAAGCGATGGATGTTGAGAACAGTCAAAGTCAACCCACAGACCAGCACCAAAGACCTACAACATCATCTTGCTGCTGATGGAGTCATTGCGCATCATTCAACTACGTATTCAGCACACTTTACACAAAGAGATACTGTATGGGAGAGTGATGCAGTGGAAGCCTTTTCTCCGCCCACATCACAAACAGAGCTGCTTGAGGTATGCTAAAGCACATTTGGACAAGCCAGCTNCGCCCACATCACAAACAGAGCTGCTTGAGGTATGCTAAAGCACATTTGGACAAGCCAGCTTCATTTTGGAATAAGGTGCTGTGGACTGATGAAACTAAAATAGAGTTATTTGGGCAGAACAAGGGCCATTATGCATAGAGGAAAAAGAATACAGCACTCCAAGAAAAACACCTGCTACCTACAGTGAAATTTGGTGGTGGTTCCATCATACTGTGGGGCTGTGTGGCCAGTACAGGGACTGGAATCCTGTTAAAGTTGAGGGACGCATGGATTCCAATCAATGTCAGCAGATTTTGGAGACCAAAGTCCAGGAATCAGTGACAAAGCTGAAGCTGCGCCGGGGCTGGATCTTCCAACAAGATGACGACCCTAAACACTGCTCAAAATCTACTAAGACATTCATGCAGAGGAACAAGTACAATGTTCTGCAATGGCCATCTCAGTCCCCAGACCTGAATATTATTGAAAATCTGTGGTGTCACTTAAAGAGAGCTGTCCATGCTCGGAAACCATCAAATCTGAATGAAGTAGAGATGTTTTGTAAAGAAGAATGGTCTAAAATACCCTCAGTCACAATCCAGACTCTCGTTAGAAGCTATAGGAAGTGTTTAGAGGTGTTATGATTCTTGTCTGTGTTAGTGTTTTATTTTTAGTTTCTGTCATGTTCCTGTTTTCTTCCTCATGTCTGCCCTTGCTCCAGCCCCGCCTACTCACACCTGATCCTCATGTTTCTCCCCCAGGTGTTCCCTGWTTGTGTTCATTAGTCTCGCCTTTAAATTCTGTGTGTTGTCTTCACTTCCCTGTCGAGTCATTGTTTGTATGTCTCTGTCTGGTTCATGTTCTGCCCAGGCTTCCCTGTTCCTGCTACTTGTAAGTTTTCTGTTTTTGCCACCACGCTGGCCTTTAATTTAATAAATTTTTTGTTAAATTTTCAAGTCTGCCTGCCTGCCTGCATTTGGGTTCATCCTGCCTCTAAGTCGTTACAGAATGACTCGACCAAAAATTGAACCCAGCAGGCAGTGTTTCCCCTCCCCAACCACGGCTTGTGCCCTGCCAGTTTCTCCCCTCTCAAAGATCCTGGGGCTCCTGGAGGGGACGAAGGGAGAGCTGGCTGGCCTTAGGGTGCTTGTCGCTTCAGGGTGCCATTCAGAGCAGGTGGCACCAGGGGTTTCTGAAGCCCACCCTCCCCACCCCTCTGATGTGGGCCCTCCTGCTCTGGTTCCTGTGGGCCCTCCTGCTCTGGTTCCTGTGGGCGCTCCTGCTTTGGTTCCTGTGGGCCCTCCTGCTCTGGTTCCTGTGGGCGCTCCTGCTCTGGTTCCTGTGGGCGCTCCTGCTCTGGTTCCTGTGGGCCCTCCGGC